CACACACACACACACACACACACACACACACACACACACACACACACACACACAATCAGTTTTATACATGTTGTTCTTGCTTCTGTTGTCTGTCTTTCCCTTGATTTTTTCTAAGTTTTTTTTGTGTGCCCAACTGAGCACCCTCAAGTAGTGCCAAACAGTCGGTGGTTCCTCGTTTGGAGTGCCTACTGCACTCTTATGGGGGCTGCTCGGTTCGGGATGTCTGTGTTGCCTGTCGGTGATGACGGATGTTCGTCGGAGTGACTCCCTGGCTCAGTGGGTGGTGGGAACCAACAGTCTGCGGGGTTCAATCGTGATGTGAGTAGGTCATGTGCTGCTTTGCTCCGTGTTGGATGTGTGGACGTCCTCGTCTGCGCTCCGCCGCTGCCTTGCTGCATGTCCCGCTTGCTTCGTGTGTCTGCGCTCCGCCGCTGCCTTGCTGCATGTCCCGCTTGCTTCGTGTGTGGTTCCTTGCAGGTTGATGTGTTCGCTGTGTGGTGTGGCCGTGTTGTTGGTGTTGCCTTGCGCTTCACTGCTCTGCTGCCGTGCTGCTCATCCGTTGGCCGTGCCTTCCGTGCTTGACACTTGTGTGCCCTGTAGGTTGGTTGCCTTGTTGCTGGTGCTTTGTGCTCCGCTCCACAGTTGCCCAGCTGCTGGGTCACTCGCCCTATCGTCCCCTGCAGTGCTGTTGCCTTGCTTGTCTTGCCTTGTGCTTCACTACACGGCTGCCGCGCTGCGTGCCATGTCGTTCCTTGCAGTCGTTTTGGCGTTGTGCAGCCGTGTGGCCTCTACTGTGTTGCCTGGTGCTTCACAGGGTTGCTGCCCGCTGCTATGTTCCTCTTGGGGACAGTCTGCCTTCAACAAGGGTCAAAGGGTTCATGACCCAAACCATCAAATACGGGGATTCCGCAGATTGTCGAGGGTTCAGCCTCCTGATGAGTCGGTGCAACTCCGACGAAACAATCTTTCATCTTTTGTTTTTTTTCGCTTTGTTTTTTTTGTGCTGTTTGTTCTTTTGTCTGTCTTGTTGCCTTGTTGCCGCCGCCTCATTCTTCTGCCTAGTGCTGTTTGTCTGCCCGCACGCCTCCCCCTTGCCCTCCACCCTTTGTTCTCTGCTGTGGTGTGTCATCCAAGTACCGTGTTGTGTTCTGACCTCAGCCTTGCCATTTTGTTTGTCTTGTTGTACTTGTCTTACCGCTGGTCGGTTCGCTTTTCGTTTTATGACTATTGAAAGCTGGGCTTTATAAGCATTCTTTTCTATGGGCATTCCTGGCTGCGGGCTCTTTCCCGGTGTTGTTTATAAGCGCACTCTTCAGCACAACATGCTGTGACGAGGTCGCAGAAGCCACGCAATGCATATATAACACACACGCACCGCACACA